CCTCATAATTCTTATTAAACTGAGTCTTGTTAAGCAAGTTCCCTTTATTGCAAACAGTGTATTTTCAGGAGACCTGCTATAAATATAACCAGGTATAATATTCCATATTAAATAATTCATTTTATTTTTATTTCACTGGCCTCTCTTTTCTTCCCTCCCCCAGTCCCCCACCACCACCAACCCTTTCGATCCCAGAGATAACCATCTGGGCATCAGACCAGGGCTTAAACTGTGCCAAATCGCAGTGCATCTGAAATCCACTACTTTTTTTTCACCAGCCAGTGAAAAGCCTTGAGCAGCAGTCAGAGGAAAAAAGAAAAGGGAATTTACATCAGAAACAAATTATCAATTTCTCTGCCTTCCACCCAGAAGAGTGCCTGTGGTCTGATTATCTCCCCTTTGTTAACTCTTAGAGAAAGTGACAGAGACTGGAGCCAAGAAGACCAGGACAAGCCTGGGAGAAGCAGGCTGTTGTCTCCTACAATTGGCCCTCCCTTGGCAGGGCTATGATGTCAGGAGGCCTAGAGAAACTCTACCTCATGGTCCAGGGCCCCAACCCTGGTGGATATAGGGAAGAGGTAGAGGGATGTATAAGCCAAATTAATACTGTGCAAAATTTGTAAGCAATAGATCAGCACAAACGAAGAATCATCTAGCGGCAACGGAATAAGCTACCTAATAAATTAGGAGACTCAGCAATATGTAAAGGTCAAATGCAGAACTCTAGATCACCTGAGTTCTAATCCCAGCTCCGTCACTTTCTAGCTCTGTAGCCCTTCTCACTGACTAAGCATTCATTGCTCATCTACTAGGAGCTAGGCCCTGGGCCTGATGTCAGGGACGTACTGGTACTTGCTCCTGTGGAATTAAATTCTAGTTGGAAGGACATTAGCGCACGTGCACGTGTATACACACACACACACACACACACACACACACAGACATACGAAGAAAAATGCCAGATAGCAATAAGAACATACAGGGAACTTAAATATAATGATACAGTCAGGAATGCCTCGGAGATCTATTTTCTCAAGTCAGCAGGGAAGACCTCTCAAGTGATGACATTCAAACCTAGATTTAAATGACAAGAAGAAGCCTAACAGATAAAGACAAGGAAAAGAGGGATGTGCAACGGCCCTGGCCTTTGAAGAAATACAAGGAAGGCCAGTGTGGCAAACTACTTCTATGTGACTTGTGTTTGTCATCTGTAAAATCATGGTTGTAGGATTAAACTCATAGCATTGTATCTGCACGTAGTCTACGCTCAACAAATGTAAACCGCCAGAATTATCAACATCATCACCATAATCAGTGTGATCCCATCACCGGACCAGTCCAAGCAGGGCCTGGGTACAGACATGTCACAGGCACGGCCGGCTGTATGGCCTCTAACGTTCCTTCAACCATTAGACACCAGGATTAGGCAAGAACAGAAAAGGTGAAGAAAGAAATGATAAAATTGTTACACTCCAGCTTCCTGCCCAAGGCCTTTTAAAAAGGATACTGAATCACACAATAGTGTGTGGGTCACCTCATTCATTCAATAAATGGCCCTTTCCCGTCTTTCTCTCTCTCTCTCTCTCTATATATATATACACACACACATATACATATAATCTATTGATTCAAAGCCCCAAATAGCCAAAATCCTTACCTATAACTAGTTGACACCCTGCCTTTAGCCCTGAGGTTGACCCTCATTAAGGGGTCTATATGCCAAAAAACAATTACCACAACAGCACTGAGAACAGAAAAGGATGATATATAGTCTCCATTACTGGCTTTAAAGTGTGTTAGCCATTATAAGAATGAAATAGCAACAAGGACATTCTTTGACTTTATATGCATCTCAAACTGTTTTATTATTTCATGTTTAAAATGTCCCAAGCAGAAGCTTACACATCACACACACCCCTGCCAATATATTTCACACACACACACACACACACAAAACAGAAACAAAAACAAACAAACAAACAAAAAAAACCTCTAATTCTTGGTCTACTCTCTCAAAATCATTACTAACTTGTTAAGCTTTCTGAAGCTCACTAATTGAGGCTATCAAACAATGCAGTCTTTTGACAACAAACTTGACTTATGTGTCTTTCACTTAGGAACAGAAAGGTCTACTTTTATCCAACCCTTAACCATTAAAGGTCATATCCTTTCGAGTTCTTTTCTAAAATTCACTCAAATCCAAGACAAGGATACTACAACCGTAAAGAAGTGTGCAGTTTTTACACTCGTGACATTACTTCATCACTTTCCCACTGTCACACATCCATTTAGATGGTGCAAAGGACGTGAAAAAATATTTAAACCTCACACAGAGCATAAAACAAATTAATACTGAATAAGGGTAATATAAACAATCCTAATAACTTAAATGCACAAATATTTCTCCTAGGCCAGCTTTTAGACTGTCGAAACTCAAGTTTGGGGTGGAAAGAAAAGAATCTTCATAAACCAAAAGATTAAGTTTGTCGATATACTTTCAACATTAGTTTTTTCCCCACCCAATCTCTACCTCTCCCTGCCATCCAGTCCTCCAAAAGGAAGAAACATCGAGGAACAGATTAGAATTCAAGTTTTCTTATAGGAAAATATTCCTTTAAAAAAACTGAAAAGGCAACAAATTCAGCATAGAACACATCCAAGGAGGATCTTTATAGGTAGATGATGCCTTTGACAGGATATGAACTAACACTCCCTAGACACTATGTATATTTTAGAGTACTATAAGACGTTACCACTGTCTACTAGTATTCGCCGTAAAAGAATCAAAAAAGTGCCTTCCGGAAAGAGAGATTGGGACTAATAGGTCCATTCAAACCCAAACTTATCTACTGGCTTTTGCAACATAATCCAGTGACAAGAATGTGATTCGTATCTCAGCTATGCAACAGCTAGCTTTTCAATGTGTTTTGAAGTAGATGCCTCTGAAGTAACAGTCATAGCTTTGGTATTAAAACACTCTAAGCTGGGGCGCCTGGGTGGCTCAGTCATCAAGCATCTGCCTTTGGCTCAGGTCATGATCCCAGATCCCTGGGGTAGAGCCCCTCATAGGGCTCCCTGCTCAGTGTTAGGGTGGGAGGCCTGCTTCTCCCTCTCCCACTCCCCACATCCTTTTTTGAATTATGCTTCAGAACTTGTGCTATTTCACAAATACACTGGGAAATCATGACTTAACTAATCCTCAGTACTAGGTTTTTATGGTGTTTCCAATTTTTTCTATGATAAAAATGCTGCGATCGACTTTTTGCATATACATGTCTGTGTATTCCCTAGGGGAAAACTCTAAAAATAGAGTAATTGAGCCAAGTGGTATGCATATGGTAAAAACGTGATAATTTCTACCCAAATGTCCCCCAATAATGTACGAGAATTGTCAGTCTCTTTAAATGATAATATTTAATTTAAAGAAGAGTTTCAAAGTTTTATGTACTCATCATATATACCCAATATTTTTAAACTTATATATAATGACTTTTTTAAGGCTATGGCTAAAATACATAGTTATAAATATCAAAGGTCTTACTGTAATGGACACTGACTCAGAAAACTATCTAAGAATATACCACCTCACAATTTATAGAACATGACAAGCATGGATGTGTTGAGTGGTGTCTTTTATTTTTCTCTTGGTTACATTTACATATTTCCAGATATATTCTGTGCTCTTAAGAAGATATTAATAATCCTTTATATCTACCTTGCCCTTTATACTACTGAAACACTTAGTAGGTGCCTCACTAGCGCAGTAGGTAGCACGTCAGTCTCATATACTACTAGAACACTTAAACAAAAAGAAATTTAGAGGAATAAAACATCCTGAGAGTGAACTTTACCACTGGATATTAAGCTGTACCCCCAAAAGACCCTTAAAGTTATACAATAGTAGCTACATATTTAGAGCCAAGACTGTAATAACCAAAATCTTTACCCGTCAACTGATAACAGTATCACAAAGGGAAAGGTGTGTCTTACATATGTATCTGTTAATTTACAGCTTATTTACAATACATATTTTTGCAATTTCAAATAATTAAGAAACAGGATCCTAACATAATATAAAGATAGTTCACACAGCAAAAACAGGGTTTAGCTTCCTTTTCTGTTTTTAAAGTGACACTGGATATAATTTTATACCTCAAAGTAACTCTCAAAGTTACTTAAGTATAGAGTTCACACCCAGGGTGGAGTTCTGTGTAATTTCCAAAGTTCAGAAAGGCCCTGCCTGCCCGAAAATATCTCCCCTTAGAGCCTGTCTCAGAATCGTTCCTTGAAGCTTTTAAAAAATACAGAAATTATTCAATAGGTCTGGACTAGAGCCAGTGCATCTGCATTTTTTTAAAACTCCCCAGTTGATTCATTTGTACAGCCAGAGTCAAAAAGCACTCAGTTATATAAAAGATTGAGGGAGGGAGTGGTATCCTTAGATTCCCAACTGAAATGTTCATATGAAAAGCATCAAGCTGCCCTAGGGGACCCACGCGAAAACTGAACCTTCGGAATACTTCTAAAAAGGTCCCAAAAGGAAAGCAAGGGTGGGGAGCCTGTTGACCCAACCCTGACCACCAAAAACAGACAGGGGTGAGGATATACAGTAAATGAAGCAAAACTCTAGAAGACCCACCTTGCCAGAAACGGCTACTTCATATTTTAAGCACATAATCCCTTCAACTTCATAAAACAGACAAACAAGAAAAAATTGCTCATCTGTGTGTCTGTGTGGAAAGGGGTGGTCTCCTCAAGGAAAAGCATTCAACCACAGGTAGGGGTTTCACCAAGCAGTGCCCATCAACATATAATAAGACCAAAACGGATTGGCAATTAAGACAATACTCAGAGACAGCTCATTACCTTTTACAATGTAATAATCATTTGTCAGAACAGTGTTTCTCAAAAGAAGTTTGTCTCACAAGAACAAGCCAAAAAACATGTCTTTTAAGTGATTTATACATAACCCATCATTTTCTTAAGCTTCTGTTACCTACCAGATCTGGACTTAATGATGTCACTGAACTCATTCTGCCCGTCATCTGGCCTGGCCTCGTGTTCTCCATACGTGGCCATCTTTGCTGAGTTTCAGTGTAATCCAAAGAGGGTAGTAAATCCTCTTCTTAAGACTTCCAGTTTTCTATAATGGTCCAGGTCGACATCAATCCCTAAAAAGAAAAGGGAATGTACTGACTTGGGAAAAAATGTATACATACATTTTTATTTAATATAAATAATCATAGAGTTATCCATACTAACCATTCATTCAGCAACTATTTATTCAGCATTTTCTATTTGTAAGGCACTGATCTGGGCAATGGGGATATGACTAAAAAGGAAACCCAGACTCTGCTATGATGAAGTTTCTAGACACTAAGCTGTTAATTATGTAATGAATTATTTCATTATAATACTGATATGTCACAAATGTACACATGAGAAGCATAGAGTCATATGAGCAAACAGCAGAGGACTCGGACCTGCCCGGGACAATTAGAGAAGGTTTTCTTGAAGAAGTGATACTTGAGCGAAGCCTTCAGTGATGAGAAAAATTTAATTAGCAAAAAAAAAAAAAAAAAAGAGGTGGGAGGAGAAAAATAAGAGCCCTCCATGTCAGGAAGAATCATGGAGGATTCAAGAGGCTGAGCCTGGGTCTTTGGAGAGAAAACACCCAAGAGAGAAATCTGGCAAACTAAGTGAAGTAGGTAGACAGGACTGGCGACAGGGCATTGGAGACCAGGTCAAAGCTCTTCATCTTTCTCTGAAGAGGAAGGGAGATCTAAAAGATGGTTTTAAGCAGGGAAGTAACATGATCAGACCTGCCTTCTGAAGAAATCACTCTGGTTTGTAGGTGGACGAGAATGATGAGTAGGAAGCCATGAAGACAACAGCAGAATATAGCAATTGTTCATTCAAGAACCTAGGCCATGGGCACATGGGTGTTGAAAAAAATTTTATTTCAATTCCTCTGTATATCTGAAACTTTTCCGTAACAGAATTTTGGGGGAAATTATTCCTAACTTTCACCAAGTGATCAAACTTTATATAACCAATAATGGGGCATCATGTGATACAAAAGGGAATATACCACATCGTCTATGTAGTATCCTCGTGAAGCTGATCATGAACAGACAAATCTAGACTGGATGGTCTTTAAAATAAACAATCTGGACTATTTATAATTATCAACATCATGGAAAAAAAACACCTGAGGGAGAGGGAACTTTGTGGGTTAAAGAAGACTAAAGAAACATGACAACCAGTATAATCCTTGACTGAATTTAGACTTTAAAAAATAAATGTTTGGGGGATAATATGAAAAATGTGAACTAAAGCTATATATCAGACAATATTTTTCTATCAATATTAAAGTTCCTTAGTATCGGTTCATAGTTTTGTCATTATGCAAGTATATCTTTCCAAGTATCTTTGATTATAGGAGACAACTGACAAAATATTTACCTCTGAAGTGTGATAATGACTTCAACTTCAGTTCAAACAGGACAGCATATGCCTGTCTATCTATGTATAGGTATCTCTCTACCTATATGTACACATACAGGGAGAGAGGGAAAAAGAGAAAGAAAGTAAATGCTGGAAAATGGTAAGTGGGGAGAAAGCATATGGGTGTTCTTTCTAGTATAATATTACAGGCAGGAAATGACTGTGGTCTAAACAAGGGTACATGAAAAGAAATGGGTAGATATGTGGGATATTTAAATATCAAATACAGAAGGCCAGTAGCAATTGGGGACTGACTGGATAGGAGTTGTCCAGAATACTAAGGTGCAAAATGACTGCCCAGTTTTGGTTTGGGCAACTGTGTGGAGGGTGAGTCATTCACTGAGCTGGGGAACACTGGCAGATAAGCCACTGTTGGAAGGAACCATGAATGTGGTTTGGACTTGCTGAGTTTTAGGTGCCTCTGAGTTATATAAGGGCAGATAACAAAGAAGACAGTTGGATATATAGGACTGATCTCAAAAATGGCGTGGATTCAATAAAAATCTGGATAGTTACACATTATACCCACTGACACAGATTTTAATCTAGAAGGTACATCATATGAATTCTGCTGAGGATAGCTATCACTCGATAAAATAATTTTAAAGATTTCATTTTATTTATTTGAGAGAGAGAGAGAGCACCAGAGCAGAAAGAGGAGGAGAAGGGGAATGGGAGGGACGAGGAAAGAATCTCAAGCAGACTCAGCACTGAGCTCGGGAGCCCGACATGGGGCCCCAGGTAGGCTCAATCTCACAACCCTGAGATCATGACCTGAGCAGAAACCAGGAGTCGATGCTTAATGGACTGAGTCACCCAGGTGCCCCAGCAATAAAATAATTTTAATCTTTAGTAATTAGAATCATCTGTAGAATTTAAAGAATTGAGGATTATACTCGGCACAACCACCTTTTCTTTAAGAATGTCAATAATGAGAGCCCTGCATTGCCCTAACAGTTCCTGGAATATATTGCCCCTACAGCCCAAACACAATCAGAATTCAGTCTTAAGTTCAGCAACTTGGCTGTATCCTAACAGCCCCTTAAGTGGACCCTAAATGCCAATTAAATAAATTAGTCATTTAGTTGGGAATGTAACTGTCAACACATCCAAATAGTAACCTGCAAATAGTGGATATTAATTCATATATTACAACATATATCAGAACAAGAGTTTACTGCTAGCTAGGATTAGGCAATTTAATTATTTAATTCAAGGACACACCATGTGGTTTTATTATTTAATAATATGCTTCATTTGGCATACTTATGTAATAGTATTTTATGTTTAATTATCTGTAACATTCAAAGAAATACCATATTATTTTATAATATAAGTATATGTAAAAAATAATTATTATATATTTTTTCCTGACCAGTTGGAAAAAGGGTGTGTTCTAATAATAAAGAAGTCAAAATTACCTTAGAAAAAAATGCTTTAAGTATTTAACAGTTTGAGGCAGAAGAAAACTGGTGGACTACTAAAGATTTAGGAACAATTTTTCTCTCTTAGAGAGAGGACCATGTGGATTAGATCATCAATCTGCCAACGTTTGAGTATAAAATCTTTCTCATTTTTTTTAAGATTTTATTTATTTATTTGACAGAGATCACAAGTAGGCAGAGGCAGGCAGAGAGAGAGAGAGGGAAGCAGGCTCCCTGCTGAGCAGAGAGCCCAATGTGGGGCTAGATCCCAGGACCCTGAGATCATAACCTGAGCCCAAGGCAGAGGCTTAACCCACTGAGCCACCCAGGAGCCCCTCTTTCTCATTTTTTTATATTGCTCTACTACTGTTAAGACTTTCAGGATTATTATATGACTAACTTCCTTTTGGGGGATACCTACCTGTAAAAGATTTGCTGAATTCTTAAGTGCATTTTAATTTATTCAAGAACTTAAAGCTTTGTTCAGACGAATGCATATAAAATTTTATTATGGAAAATGAGGTTGGTCCAACAAAAATTCTCTTTACTGGAAAGCAACTAACTACTCCCTTTAAGAGAAAATCTGACACTCTCCTTCATAACTAGTCTTAGCTAAGGGTCTTCACTTCAACACTTGCCAAAGACCTTCCCCACTCCATAAAAAAGAAAAGTAAACTGTTTACACCAGACTTCATTTACACATGAATATTTATCATTTTTTTTATTTTACCACTCTAAGATAATTTCTCAAATTTTCTCTTCCTGATCATCAAAAGCCGTTATACGCTACAAAGATACAGCAGAAAGAGGGTCAGAGGACAAGAAAAGAATGGGAAGGAGAGCGAATCAAAGAAGGCCATTTGAGCAGTGAGAGCCACTGACTGTCACCTGTTGCCAGGAATGGGTAGGGGACCCCAGGTAAAGTAGCACACAGAAAAAGATACCTCCTGCTAAACCTCTACATGCTGCAGCTACTTATAATTGGTTGTCAGGAGACAGAATCAAAGTTTCTTCACCCACAGTGTGCCTTGGTGTGGACCTTCCCAGGGCACATCTATAGAGTGTAAGAGAGACCATCTTCCACACAAAGCTGGGTGAGAAACTGAGAATAGATGAATGGGATATTATTGCCTTAGAAGCTTTAAGCCCTATACAATAAATTGTCATTTATTGTTACCACTGTTCCAGATCTCTGTTCCCTCGGAATTATGCTTTGCGAAGTTTAGCCAGATCCCTCGATGAAACCAATACACTTAACTCTGCATTCAGCAACTGTTTCTTCAGAACATGTCTGTCTGGCTGTCATATGGAACACAAGCCATCCGGGTGTGGCGATAAACTTCGGGGTGAAAGGGTAGGGGGGTGACCTTAAAGTTAATGTTTCAATTTTAAAACAATTTGGCAATTATACAATGTAAGAATACAAGTTCCTTCCACAACGTGTAATTATGATGGAAATGCCGTATAGGTCCTTGCGCTGAAACTATCCATGCATTTAAACTAGAAACCAAAACCCAGGAATGCTGAAGATAGTGGAAAGGGAAGGGAAAGGGCCAAGAATTTGTCGCTCTGCTTGAAACAGTACAAGAAACCTGCCAGTGCCAAGAACTGCCATTCACTCTCGGAAACGCTCCAAGGGAAGGTTAATACTTCGGTGATTAATACTGTTTACAGCGGCAATAAATTTTAGGTGAACACCCAAAGGAAAGTTAAAGAGCTGTCTCATTGGTCCCATAAACTCGGGTAGAGGGGGCGGGGAATGACTGTGCGTAAACCATGGCCCTGGCCGCCCGGTACCCGGGAAGCTGAAACACCCACGAGCTTCGCATTCTTCCAGCCCTCGCCTGACCCGCAGCACTCCCCGCAGGCCGCTGCCGCCACGCCCACCAGGAACAGCCCGGAGGCGCCAACCGCACTTCCTGAGGCCTGTGCAAGTTACAAATGAGTGGATGCGGCTGCTGCCGCGGGTCCTAGAGGCCGCAAGACCCGGCCCTAGCCGGGACGGGAGAATCGAAGCTTATGCAAAGTCGGTGCGTTCCAGCCGGAGCAACCGGTGCACTGGCCCTCCCAAACGCGGCATGAGGAACTGACCCGCGAGGCCCCGGTGACCCAGGTGACGTGGAGGCTGGGAAAGAGGAGACTTGCCCCGGGACAGCCCAGAAAGCGGAGCCGATCGCCCCAAGTTCGACCTGGGGCTCTCCAGTTCAATGTAAAACAAAGTGCGGATCCTCGGGCTCTTGGAGGTCGGCCACGTTTTTTCCTTCCCTTGAAACCCTGGAAGGATTGGGAATCGGGGGCTTGGGCGGAAAAAAAAAAAAAAAATTCTCCCTTAACAGCGTGCCTTCTAAAAGTTGCACAGCCTAGAATTCGTGCTTTGTTGGCTGTGTAAGTGGCCTTGGGCAACCAGAGCCTCGGACCCAGGGCCAAAGACTTTTCCCACTCCATTAGCTCACCTGATGTAGCAAGAGATGCCGAGAGTCCGGAAAGCAGAAGAGGCTGCCGTGGGGACTAAGCACCGACTGGCCGCCCCTGTCCCCTCCCTGGAGCCCCACCCTCAGGAGCAGCAACGGCGCGGAGGGCTAACACGGTTTCTGCCAGGCGGGCGCCTGCGAGCCGCTCCTCTGCCGGTCCACCACACCGCCACCCGCTCCTGGCTGACACCTCGGGCCCCGCCCTCCCGGGGCCGGGGTGTGTGTCACAGGCCATCTTAGGAAACCGGCCCCTCTTGGAGATCACAGCGCGAAGCACGCGACCCTCTCACGCAGAGGGGGAGGAGGGCTGGGGGAGCCCGGCGGCTGCACGGCCGGGGTCTGACGAGTTGGGGGCGTTCGCTCCCAGACAGACTGCGAGGACCTCCGAGCTCTCTCCACGTTTCTGGCACCCTCTCTCCCGCCGAGGGGAGCTGAACTCAGGTTCCGAGGAAAGTGCACACGAAAGTTGGTGACATCTTAAGACTCAGACTTGAGGAGAACAGGACGCAGGGTGGGAGCCGCGGAAAGTCCATCCTCCCCGCAGCCCACGCCCCACCGCCCCGGGGGCTGCGGTCACATCCCACCGCCCGAGGCGGAGACCTCGCACGGGCTTACCTGCTTCCTGGACCCGCGGGCCCGCGTCGCCTGCCAACCTCCGCCGCGTCCCCAGCGGGCCGAGGGCTCCTCCGGGCGTGTTTGGGTCGGAGTGATCGCGGGGGAGTGTGCGAGCGTGAGTTCTGTGGGGCGACGTGTTTCAAAAAGGAAATGCGAAGAACCAGACAAATCCGAAAGAAAAAAAAAATTTTTTTTGACACCCGATTGAAACTACGCCCCCGACTTGTGCAATCTTCCTGCTCCGGTAGTTCCGCCAAAAAACAAAAACAAAACAGTCCAAGTGCAAACCTGGAACCGGCGCGCAGGCAACCAAGTTTGCCAAACACTAGAGAGTTTTCCGTCTGCAGAAGTGACCCAAAAGAAAGGAGGTACCACTCGCCGTGGTGCCCCAATCGGCTTCGGGAGCCAGAGGCTCCTCCTCGGCCTCGGCGGGAGAAAGCCCGCGGCCGGCTGCGGCTGCCCGCTCCCCTCCTCCGAGGAAAGGCGACTCCACAACTTTGTGCGCGAGCCGCTGGCTGCAGCGGCTCCTCCTCCGCCGCCGCACCCCCGCCCCCCCCGACCGCCGCCGCAGCCGCGGGCCTGCCCCTTTGTTGGAGAGCGGCGCAGGAGGCCGAAGAGGGAGGGGGCGCGGGAGCGAGCGGGGGCGCCCTGCGGCCCCTCGGGTAAACGGACTCGCGCCCCGGCACCCCGGGGCTTGCTCTCCCCAGGAGGAGGCGGCCGAGCGGGACTGCTTCCCCGGCCGGCGCCGCCCCCGGTGCTCCCACTCCCGCTCGGCTCTCGGCTTCGGCCCCGCCGCCGCAGGCCCGGCAACTTTGTTCCGGGAGAGCGGCCCCTCTCGGCTCCGGTTCGGCCCCGGTTCGGCCCTGGCCCAGGCGCACACCGCGGGCTGGGCTCCTGGAACGTGGCACCCCGCGTCACCTGACCGCGCGCCCAGTCAATCAGCGCCAGCCCTGCGCGCCCTCCCCTCCCGCAGCGGCCCGCCGGGTGCTCTACTGGCCCGGGGCAGCGCGCCGGGAGCGAGAATGGGCGCCTCGCACAAACACCATCCCCTTTATTCAGATTGCCGGAAAATGGGAGTCACGCCCCCACCCCAGGCAACCCACGTAGTTCGAGTGGTTTTTGCTCTCTTCTAGAGGTAAATCTCCATTGCCCCCTCCACTCACCCTACCTCCGACTGCTGACGTTGCTGGTTTATAGGTCCTAGTTCCAACGGTGTATTTATTTTAGCTTTCTTAGTGTCGCTTTTAGTGTTAAAAACTTGACATTTCATTTTATATTCGATCATGCCTACAAACAGTGCCTATGCTGGCCTTATTTTTCTATTTTTCCGATATACACACATACAAACATGGAGAATAACATTTCATTCCTCAAGCGTTCCTCTGATTCTCTCACCAGATCATCACACCTGGGGATGGGGGGACAGCAACCTAAGTTCCTAGTTCTTGAAAAACAGAAAAGATGATTGATAAGCGAGCAGCTGTGGCTTATTGCTGGCTTAATATCTGAAAGTTAATTTACGATTTAGCAAAGATAAATCGCTAGGGGATTTAAATGCCTTTTTTGTTTTCCGGAAAGAATTCACTAATTTTTTATTAATTACAAAGTAAACGTTTCCCCAGTCCCTAAATGCTGTTAGGGACAGGGAATTTTCTTCATATAACCCCACAATACGTCCAGATGATTAACGTGAAATGGACATAATTTATTCATTCACTTTCATTGGCTCATTCATTTAGCAAATGCCAATTTATGGCCTGCCAGTTCCATACGCCCTGAGAATAATGCAAAGAAAAATCTGATAGAGATCTTGCCTTAAAGAATGTCAAATCTAGCAAGTTAGATAAGGCCTGTAAACAAGAAAGGATAGACAAGATCAGTGATAAGTGTCATTAAAAAAAAAAAAAAAGACCGATCAAGTGCTACTTGAGTCTTGTATCAAGGGAGACTGAGGTTTAACTGGTAATACTACAGACCCTTAAAGCTGTTCATCAGACCCTGTATCCTCTTGGTTGAGTTAATGGAAAGTCAGATTCCTCCTTTCAAATAAAACCACATTGAAGCATTTAAGGATTTCCTTGCTTGAAAGGATATATAAGAGAGCACTTTGTAAATCACAAAGTGCTGGACAAATGTTACTTTATTTAACTCAAAGTTTTTGAAAAACACAGTTGCTAGGGGACCTAGAATTTTCTAACTCTGAGGGGATGTTTAGTTAAGCCTTCCCAAAGGCCATAAGGAAAGAGTCGTAAAAACACAATCGCCATCCGGGCCCAAGTGACTCCACCCACACCCTCGGCTTCAGTGGCTACTGGTGCATTATGTGGAAGGTGTGCCCTGTTTCTAGCCCTTCTCCCCACATGCAGACTGATACTCTCTGTAGACCACCGGCAGAGACCAAACAAAGAACTTCCTGTTGTTGGGATGACCAGGAGGTCCCAAGCTGGTCCTACTCCCTGTTTCCTTTGCAAGTGAAGAAAACACATTTAGTGGAAGATTTTAACCACAGACGTCTTCGTTCCGGTACAGCAGACATTGTGGTCTGCCTTCCCAGCCTGAGAATCAAGTTGTGTGAAAAGTGGAAACACCTGCAACCAACATTCCAGCTGGGGTCCATGCACCAGGGACACTGGCTTATAATGTACTCAGTGGGTTTTGTCTCCCCACCTCAAAGAGCAATGTAGAGCATTTAGAGAAAGTGATAGGAAGGTGGCCCAGGGTCTATCATTAACTTAGATTCTGAATTGTCCCACAGTCACCAAGGAGTAATAAATCAAGAAAACTGAACTGCTGTCCCTGGGACAAAGCCCTCGATACCGGAGAAAATAATTATGAGTAGTATATATATTCAGATATAGAAATATGGGACACCTGGGAGGCTCCGTCGGTTAAGCATCTGCCTTCTGCTCAGGTCATCACTGCAGGGTCCTGAGATCAAGTCCCACATCGGGCTCCTTGCTCAGCAGGGAACCTGCTTTTCCCTCTCCCTCTGCCCCTGCTCATGTGCGTGCTCTCTCTCTCTCTCTCTCTCTGTCAAATAAATAAAATCTTTATTTAAAAAAAATATATGCATATGTGTGTATATATAATAGACATGACATGATTCTACCTAGATATTGTTCATATGTAGGGAACTGCATTCTAATGTAACAGTGGTAGAGAAAACTTTCTTACTAAACTTCACATATAATGAATATAGTATGTACAGCAGGAGTATATAAATGTAGTTTCTCTTTAAACAACAGAAACATAGGGGAATACATAATGTCTAAAAAAATAAGGAACTCCTTTAGCTTTACGCTTGGTGTTGACTATGAATAATGCCCCACGTGGAAGCATTCAAGAGAGGGACAAAGTTTTAGGGGATTCATCTTTTCTTATCTTTTCCAGGTCAAGAAAATGGCTTACACAGAATAGATACCAGAATATTTGCTAAATATTGTTGCTGAATTTGTCAGTGAAATATCTAGCATTTATTGTGCAAGTTGAAAATAGGTATACATAAAATAAAACTGTGATAAAATTAAGGAAGCTAATGATAATACTGCACGAAACTTTTAGAGAATAATTAGAATGTAGGCAGAGTTTCTCACAATTTAGTGAACTTAAGAATCACTAAGGAAAATATTTTAAATTCAGATTGTCTACTAATTCCCAGAAATCCTGGTTTGCTAGGTCTGGTGAGGCCCAGGAAGCAGCAGTTTAACAAACAGTTCTTGAAGTTAGATCAGGATGGTTGGGGAATCTTAGAGCCACTCTTCCCTAAGGAGCTGGCCTCAAATTGGCCACTTTGGTTGATTGGAGGAGGCGAGAAATTGCCCTACAAGAAAAACATTGACTACTGGATCGATCATAATTTCAAAATGCTCACAATTAGCCTTATGTCTTTGAATTCAAGTGTTTTGTTCAGTTGAGGCTCACCCTTGAGGTCACCAAGTGTCATTAACACCTCAGGAGCATTCTGGGCAATTCAACCTGCCCTAGGGTAAGAGCCTGGCTGGTTCTCACCAAATGCTCTGCAGAAGTCTGCGGGCGGTAGGGCAGGGAGGACAGGACTGTTGAAGGTAGGAGAGTTGAAATGCAGGATCCAAAGTCGCTATGGACAAAACAGAAAGACTAAAAGGTTGAGGAGAAAAGAGCAACTAGTAGAACAAAAAGAATAAAGGAGTCCCGAAAAGAGAAGGAAGAGGCCAGGAGAGAGTGCAGGGGCACCCCCAGACCCACCTCTTCACAGTGTGCTGCCCCTGAGAACCAAAAGCCTCTGACTAAAAGGAGTGTCCTGTGTTGTGGTTGTCAGACTTGTTACCCTTAGTTGGTTTCATGCACTTTGTATAATTTTGTGATGTTGGTACTGGAAGGGATGTTACAGTTTCTCCTTCAACCCTCTAACTATGTGGCTAAAGAAACGAATGACAAAGATGCAAAACAAGCTAGGGAGTGCATTGAAATAAAATAAAAATCTATTGGGGGAAAATGTCCAAATCACTAAGAAGTAAAGAGAGCATCCCTAGGTTATGTTAAGTTCATTGTTAACTTGCAGAAGGAACAGGAGGAGGAGAGCAGAAGACAGAGTTGCTGAAAGCGAATAAGGCTGGATTTAAGTTGCCTGAGTGCTAGTTATTAAATTGACAGTTATTAGCTGTGATGAGCTTGTGGAACTTGCTTAACCTTTAGCTTCCTGTCTACAAAATAGAAAGAATACCTCTCTCAAATGTTTTTGAGAATCGATGAGTTACTTGATATGAATCATTTATCACAGTACCCGAGGGGTGTGTGTGTGTGTGTGTGTGTGTGTGTGTGTGTGTGTGTGTGTGTTTTACTATTATGTTCCTTCCTCCTTTTTTTTTTAACTCAAGATGACATGCTGCCATTTTGTTATCATCTTCATTTATTGTTTTATTGAAGACCTTTCTGGAACTCCCATGTCTGCTGAAGGGCTGGGTGTGCCAATGGAAATAAGCCACAGTGGTTGTCTTCCAAAAGCTACTATCTAGTGAAAGAGACCAACATATAACTAGATAATTAAAAGTTCTTATGGGTACATCAGTACAGCCAAGATGTAACATGACCTAGAAAAGG